CCTCTGTGGCTGTTTAATGGATTTCTATGATATAAACAGACCTTTGGCTTTGCCTGTTGGGCAGGTGACCTCCAAGTAAATGAGTTTAGACAGCGTTCCCTAATAAGAAATGTTCCTCTTTTTCCATACTCCACAAAGCTCCCTGAGTACACAAGGACTCACACTCACTCCCCAGGCAGACAGATACGATCAGCTAGACACAGATGTCCACCTGAAATGGCAGTGGGCTACCTGGCATGGTCTGTCAAAACGTGCGTGTGCATTTCCACCTCTAACATTTGTTCATGTAACAAATATTTACTGAGATGACTCTCCGCTAGGTGTTGTTGATATAATGGGGAAAAGACGTGGCCTTTGTGCTTGAGGTGCTCACGGCCCAGTGGGCAGACAGATATTTTGACATAATGAGGTAAGAGCTGGAGTATAGACCCTCAAAGAGGAATCATGTAGGAGGAAGCATCTAGAACTTTCTGCAGAAGTCAGGGAAGGCAACATGAGCTGACACAGTCTTTTTGGATGGCCTCAGTGTCTTCATCTGAAAAACAGGCTTAATGATACTACCAACCTCAGTGCCAGCATGAAAATGAAATGCAGCCATGTATGTATAGCCCTTAATCCAGTGGCCGGCACAGAGTAAGGTAACATCAATAATGTTAGTCACTCAGATTAGTATTAGCAGAATTACTGAATGAGTCCCCAAATTTAGGTGTAAATGGATAGAAATAATTAAGTAGAGGATATTATTTATCATTCGTTTTCTATAACCAGGTCCCAACCTTAATGCTAGAATAGTTTGGTTGTTAGGCGACTGCCTCCTACTGGCCAAGCGTGGAATTGCATCCCTACTCTATTAGTTGCTGTATATTTTCTAGGGAAAAAGGAAAGGTATGTGCCTGAGCTCTGAAGAAGCCTGGGAAACTCAAATCTGGGAGGGGAACCCATGCAACAGTGAAGAAAACGTGGGAGATGGTGAAAAGGCTGTGAAGCATCCTTAAGTTGAACAGGACTTTGATAGATGACTAAGATACCAGCACCTCAGGGGCCTGAAAACTTTCTTGACATCTTCTCTATGTTTTCAAAGAAATCTTTTGAGAATGATAAGCCCTCTTCCAACCCCCCATTCCCCGCAATCCAATGATGGCAGGTTACACAACAAATAAAATTCATTTTTCTGAAATTCACTTTACAGTGAATTTGCCTAGAAAGCTGGCTCAGTGAGCAGTCACTTTCAGTCCCTTGCCAGGAAAGTACAGTACATTCCAAGGAGGGGCCATAAAATTATTTTTCAAATATTTACAGCAGGCTGTCCAATAGAACTTTATGTGATGATGGAAATATTCTATACCTGCTCTGTCCAATATGGTAGCCACTAATCCTATGTGGCAAGTCTGACTGAGGAAACAAATTTCTAATTTAATTTGATTTAATTAAATTTAAATAGCTACATGTGACAAGCGGTTACCATATGGGTCAGCACAGACCCAGGGGCTCTGATCATGTCCACTTCCTTGAGTCTATTCTAGAATTTTGTCATCTTTTTCTATAATTTGGCCTGACCATGGGGCAAGGTGTCCAAGGTGCAGGCCCTGGCCACTTCCTCCTATTTCCCTGCCCACCTACCCCATCCCCAAGGGGTCCATAGGCCAAGACCTTCCCAAATGATGAGACAGTGTTCTTGTTAACCCCGAGGGGGTGATCCCTTTTGCTTCACACAATTCCATCAGCTCCCCCAATTTACCCAAAGAATCCAATCCACTTGCTTCTGAAAGCTTTGGAGAGCTTAGGATGACCCCGTTGGTAAGATAACGTCTTTAGGACCAGAGGGGAGGCTGCTGGGCTTGACACATGTTTTGGGCCATTTTGTGCCCACTGGGCTGAGTGGGCAGAGGCAGCCTCCTCACAATGCCCTGCTTTTCCCTGCTAAAGGGATTGGAGACACAGTCCCGGCTGGACCTGTGTAATCTATTCATTTCCTTCCAAGCCGGGCTCTGTAAGCTCTTTCATGAAGGATGGGCAAAGGAAGCTGGGGAGGGAAGCAGACACACGTACAGAAAACAAACAACGCTCGGCGGCTCCCTGTTTGGGAGGGTGGGCAGCTGGGGGAAGACAGAGATGGGGGGGATAAAGCTGTGGGGGCTTGTCTGGGGGGGATCCAGCTGGGGAAGGAAACTGGGGTTTCCACTGCTGCTTCTCCCACACCCTCCAGAAGCCCTGCCCTGGCTTTGGCTCCCGGATCCCCCGTCTCGGTAAGCTCTTATCTCTCCGTTCAGCTGACTCCTTGGGAAAAGAGGTGATAGGTGTCAGAAGGCCAGAGTGGCAGCAGGCAAAGAGAGAACTGACAGCGTGGAGCCATTTCCCCGGAATTTGTTTCCGTCCTCTGCCCCATCCTCACCATCATAGACAGGGCATGCAGGGCTCCCCTGGTCCCAGGGAGAGTACCAAGTCGGCTGAGCCCACTTCCTCAGTCCAGCTACAGAATCAAAAGGGCCCAAGTATTTGGCTCCTGTGGGCAATTTGCATGTGATTTGCATACATCTGCATCCCCACCCCCACCCTCATTCCAGACGCTCTCAGTCAAAGGATGTAAAATGAAATAAAATAAATTAATTAGTGCAGCCTACCATAGCCTGATATGCAGGGCCTGACACCCGCAAGAGACTTAACTGGTGTTCAAAGCGATCAATGTGATCGCAGGCCAGGATGGAGATGGGGGGGGCAGTGAACGAGGGTGCTCGGCTCTGGGGCAGAGAAGGGGAAGGGGAATCTGTCTGCACTGGAAGCTAGGCATCTCGTCCTGCCCCAGCCACGTCCCTGGTCTTCAGAGAACACAGACGTGAGCCATGTGGAAGCCTGCTCTTGGTTTCCTACACCTCGGTCTGGCACTGCTGTTGCCCCAGCCCTGGTAGCTACTTCTGCAGGGAGATTTTCACTACTGATGCGGGAACATTTGATTTCAAACAAGAGTGAAGATAGTTGCTTCAAAGGATGGGAAGGCAATGAGATGCCTATTGGTATTTTCCTGTTTTCAAGCTCCCTCCCACCTTCACTCCTATTAACTGTTCCCATCGGGTCTCTGTATTTCTCTCAGCAGGTCTCTCACTACCCCTCACTCAAGGCTGAGGAAGAGATGCAGTACCATCCTCAGCAGTGAGCTGGAGTTAATTTATCCCAGTCCTCTGCCAGGTGCTAATGAGATGCTCACAGCGTGTGTCGGCCAAGCAGTCCCCGTATCATGTACACACACCTCTTAGTGATTCAGTTCATGGCACTATTTAACATATGTCTTGACTTTCTCTAGGCCCATTGATTTATCCAGGATGGAAACCTCTTCTAAAGCCGGGGCCCTGTGGGGATCCAACTGTCGGAGGCGATTCTAAGTAGGAGGGGCTACGATGCTAAGATGGGGAGCAATGATGTGGGTTAAAAGGAGCCCAGGTCACCGCACCCAGCAAAATAGCAATGACCAGCAAATGATGACTCAAAGGCCAAGAAAGGAACAGTGACTACAGGACGGTTCAAAGCAAGACTGGACCAAGAGCAAGGAGGGAGCCCAGCTCCGAGTCAAGGCATTGAATGGTGAGTGGCCCCCAGCAGGATCCTCTAACATTGGGTTTCCTGGCACTGCACCGTGGGTGTGGCAATAGCTTGAAGGAGCAAAGGAACCAGTTCTAGACGCCTCATCACCAAGCTGCGCCCACCCAACCCCCTACCTTCCCCCTCCTCTCCCCACTCCCCACCCCCTACTTCCACGCTCCTTCCAGAGCAGTTACACTTGACTGTGTCACCCATTGGTTTCACTTGAAGAAAGGGCAACACAACTTACAAAGCCTAGGGAAGTGTTGGTTTTAGATCGGGGGCCGGCAAACTAAGGCTGGTGGACCAAGTCAGCCCACAGCCTGTTTTTGTATGACCCATGAGCCAAGAACATTTTTTTTACCTTTTTCAGTGGTTGAGAAAATTAAAAAGGAGAAGTAGATTTTGTGACACGTGAAAATTACATGAAATTCAAGTGTCCTTGAATAAAATTTTATGGGAACCCCGCCATGCCCTTCCATCGGCACGCTGTCTGTGGCTGTTTTCACACTATCACAGAGCTGGGTAGTTGCGACAGAGACCATATGGTCCCCAGAGAGGAAAATATTTACTATCTGGGCCTCACCGAAACATTTCGCCACCCCCTGTTGTAGCTCATGGAAGAGCAACTCTCCGCCTAACCCGTACCCCAGATGGCGGTACCTGGCTCTGTGCAAACCTGAGTACGGCATTGCAAGAAAGTCAATGCCAACTGGACCTTCTCCTGAGCCCAGCCAGCCCCGACTCCCTTGTGGCAAAGGGAGGCCAGGCTGGGATGCCCAGTCCAGACACATAGAAATGTCTATCGGTGGCTAAAAAGGCCAACACTTGTTTCCATGACCCAAAGCTGGTTCTCCTGTTGCCAACACCTGGGCCTCGGGCAGGTGGGCATCTGCTCATCTTTATCAACATCCCATCTCAGACCTCCTTAGACCTTGGGGTGCCAGACATGTGGACTAGTCCTAGGTGTAATCGGATTAGAAGGCAGACTATGTCTGTAATTTGATTTTTAAGAAGGCAGGGAGCTGTCCTCTTCTCTCTCCCCTGCGAAAAACATCACCCAAATCCTCAGGCCCCAAATTCCACCCTTCGGTTCTCTTTAGTTACTCTGGAATCAGGGCCTGCAGCCTTCTTAGTAACCAATACTAGGTACTGTTGGGGTTTCCTGAACATAAGGGCATGTTAGGGACACAAAAGACGTCAGCACGAGATAGATACTGAGGGCAGAAGAGAAATAGATACCTGGGCAAAAGGATCTTCCAGGAGGGGTTCAGCAGAGGATGGGGACCTAGCAGAGAGCACAGGACAGCTCAGGGCTGGTTAGGGCTCAGTATATAGCCAAACCCGCGAGGATCCCCAGAGAGGCTCTGGGGACGCTACGCTCAGCCCTGGCCATAGGTACAGAGGGGATAGTGGGGGTGACTTACCCGGTACCACACGATCTCACGCATGCGGCCATCTGTCTTGAAGTTACACTTCAAGGTCACAGCATCACCAGCCACCACGGGTGGGAGAGGCTCAATGTTGACAGTCAGGTAGCCTATGGAAGAAAGGAGATGGGGTGGTGAGGGCATGAGCTGATCTGGAGGGCTGGGCTGACAGGTGGGGTGGGGGAAGGAGCCGGCAGAACTGTAGGGGGCGCTGTTCGCACTGTGGTCTATGTGAATGGTGATGGCGGGCCTGAGCGGAGCTCATCACCCTCTTCTACCTTCTCATCGATGCCTCCCTTTCTGAGAAACTTCCTGGCTCCCATGGATCCCTCCAATCCTGAAAACACTTCTTCTTGGGATGAACTGTCCCATGAAAGTAGGACCGGTTGGCACCTGGAGGAAGTGCCTCAATGTATTTCTACAAGATACCCCAGAGAAACGGGTCTGCGGTCCAACACTGCACCTCCATCCCCGCTTTTAGAAAGTCGCAATGTGCCTAAGCTTTGTAGGAAATGTACATGCTGAGATGCATTTAATCTAGTGCTTCCAAACGTATTTGAATACGGGTGCTCAGCCATCCCTTAAACCCCACCAGCATCTCATGCAGCCAGGGTCCCTGGAACATCGGGATATGGTGTTCTAGGCACCCATCCCCCTCCATTCCCAGCCTCATACAATGACTCCTGGTGAGAAGGGAAGAGAGAACTGGGAAACTGGTGTTTGCTTCCTGAACCCCCAAATCTCCCATCAAGCACACCCTGACGCCCCAAAGGAGATGCAGTTCCAACCCTGGGCCATGGCGGTGGTGATGGTGGTTGCGGGGGGGGCGGTGATAACAGGCTGACTGCCTGGGAAGGAGTCTCAATTGTCTGCAAGCACAGATGATGCTTCTCACCACCAGCTGTCCCCGGAATCCCTGCCCAGCTCCCAGGAGCTGGGGCTCTTCTCCTGCCAGATACACCCCGGGCGACACTGATGCCTTCACACCAAAGTCCAGCCTGCTGAGTCCTCTGACCCACCGCCTCTGCCTCCCAGAGCCCCATCCTCAGGGCGTGGTGCCCACTGCAGCTCCATGAGGGACCTCATTCTTGGGCTGATCGTCCAGGCTCATTGGATTGGCTTCCTGCTGGCTGATGTCCAGCCATTGATCTAATGTAATCAATCCAGTCTGATTGTCTTAATGAGAAAACTAGCCAGAATGGATTGGGGGATTTCAGTTGTGCAGGCAACCTAAGCAGATGGAGCCCAGGTGTCTGACCCCTGCCTGGAGCTTAATGGTTACAACACGCTACGGAAAAAGAAGAAAGAAAGAAAAAAGAATCAACCTAGAGGGGAGCAATTTGGAAGCTCGAGGCAGACTTGACCTGTGCGGTCCAAGGCTTCAGGTCCCAATACCCAGGGTAAAGGTGTAAACCTGGGGCTCACCCCCAGGGGGCCTCTAACTTAGAGCGAAGGTCAGGCTCGCAGGGAGCCCCACAGAAGACACATGGCCCGTGAGAGCAGTGATCAAGCTAAGCAGAAGGAAGGACCCATCTTCTGCCCCCTCCTCTCCTCATTCACTCTGCCCCAGAGTGTGCTCCCACCTGCTCTGAGCAGGCCCCGGGCAGGAAGCGGGATGGCTTGAGCATGGCCCTGCCCTCCAGGAGCGTACAGTGGAGGGACAGATTCACAACACGATCACACTAAGCCGGCGAGGGTAATGGTAGGATTACGGTGAGGGACTGGGGGAGGGGAGAGGGGAAACCTGGCCCAGGCTGGATGATCCGAGAAGTCCCCAAGCCCAGCCAGTGCCAACCCATGACAAACAAGGAGGCCACCTGCAGGGGGATGAACCCCAATGGGAGGGGGGACGCTGGGGAAAGCCAAGTCAAGTGTGAAATAGTAATAACGGCTCACATTTCCACGGTGCCCACTGTGCCACACACTGGGCTCCGTGCTTAATACACACTGACTCGCTTAATTTTCACAACAATCCTAGGAGAAAGGAACTAGTATTATTCCGACTTTCCATGGGGAAACAGAGAGGCGAAGTAACCTGCCAAGGTCACACAGCTATAAGTGGTAGAGCTGGGATTCAAACCCAGACCTTCTGGTTCAGTTATGACCACCACGCTACACACCGCTAAGGATGGGAGAGGTGAGAATGGGCCAGCAAACATTTCCCATCCAGCCCTGGGAAGGATGGGAGTGTGTTGCTGGGGGACCATGGCAGGAGACCAGGACCTGATCCCCTCTGCTACAGTTCCCAGCCTTGGGATGACCCCCCTGCCGCCGCCCACCTTCCCAGCAGGGCTGGGATGCGTGTCTCACCTTTGGAGCTACAGCTAAGATGAGCATCAACCGTCCAGATGGCTGAGGAGCTCAAGAACAGAGAACGGCCCCTCCCACCAGAAGGCGATGGAAAGGACACATTTTCAGATGTATAAATCTTCCAGCCAGCCCAAGGCGGGTGCAGATGGTGCATGTATGTGAGGCGGGCCAGGGCGGGATGCCAGCTTGCAGGGTCACCGTTTCTTGGCGAGTCCTGAGGGAATCACAGGTGTGAGCCTGGTGGGCACTGGAGGAAGTGGTGGAAACTCTGGTGACTGGTGGTCGTGCTGGGAGCGCCAACAGGTGTAGCAGGTGTCTGGGGCACAGGCTTCACAGGGGCAGGCCTGGGTGAGAGCAGAGAAAGCCCACCGCATAGCAGAGAGAGGAGGTCCTTGGGATACCGGAAGAGGAGAATTAAAAGGTGGGGGCATGGGGGTGTTTCTGACCCCTTAAGACAGCATATTCTGCTTGTTTAGAGAATGAGCCGCTAATAGACGTATCAGGCAACAAGATTTCCATTATCAACTAAGTGTGAGAAATTTTGGTTTAAACGTGGTCCTTCCCTTCAAAATGTCTCAGAAACTTTCTCTCCTTCCTTCTATCTGTCTTGCCTTCTTCCATAAAAATTATTGAGAACCTATTCGGTACCAGGTACTGTTCCAGGCACTAGGGATACAACAGTGAAAACAGGCAGGTCCTGCTCTTGGCAGACGATGGTCCAGCAGAGGAGACGATAATCAAAGGAACAAACGATGAGAAATATGTCAGGTGGTGATAAGTGTAATGAAGAAAAGCAAATCAGCGTAAAGCAAGGGAGAGTAATGGGGGAGGGGTTGCTCTGGACAGGGCACGACCCAGAGGCTCCCTTGAAAGGGCCAGAATAAAGGAAAGTGTGAGCCATGTGTGACTCTAGAGGGAGAGAATTCCAGATGGAGGACGCCACACGTGCAAAGGCCCTGAAGCTGGAGTGTGCTTGTGATTCTCCAAACTTGGCCGGTGGTGGGAAACTTTTTTGTAACATTGTACACTCTGGAGCCCATTGTAGGATTACAACCAGGGCCAGCACGAGGGTGGGGCACGAGAGATGCCTAGGGTGCCAGGCTTAAGGAGGCGCTCACTCCCGCTGCAGGACCCTGAGCCTCATTTGCCACTTCCTAGCTCCCACCCTGCTAGAGTCCTTTGGAACAAACACTAGTTAACACCTCTCTCGGGAAGTGACTGTGTCTCTCATTCCCGAGGTCCTTGAAGTCACAGAGGGAGGGGGATGGGGGCGAATCGCTCCGAGCAGAGGTGTCTCCTCTTCTCAGCTCCCCTGGGAGGGGCGGAGGGGGCGTGCCGGGCCGCAGAGCAGGCAGGAGGCCTCAGCGTTAAGGACTAAAACCTCCTTCCCTGGGCGCATGGCGCTTTCCAGTTTCTCCCAGAACTTTCACTCGCATTTTTCCATCGGCTCTTGGAACAGCCTGCGCGTGTCTTCCTGATAAGACGCTGCGATTACTGCATATGTCGCGCTGGAGTGTAATTGTCTGTTTGCACATCTGCCTCTCCTTCTGGGATGGGAGTTTCATTAATATCAGTAGAGTATTAAAATGAGAATATGAGTGATGCTTTTTTGAGCTTTCTTCTGCGCGGGCGGTCTCAGTGCTCATGTCACCCTGTGAATATTTCTGTCACAAAGGAGGAACAGCAGTTCATGGGGGTGAAGGGCCTGGCTCAGTACTGCTGCCGTGTAAGCAGCAAAGCCGGGATCTGAACCCAGATCTGTCCGAGTTCGAGCGAGGCCAAGCTGTCCACCACGTTTGCTACCGCCGCAGCAGAGTCACGGGACTTGCTGAGGTCATGTGAGGATTCGGGGGGTTGCCCGCCATTGGCCGCTGCATTGAATGTATCATCAGAGGCCTGGCTCTCAGATGGGGTAGATGATGATGGAGAGAGGGAGACTGCAGACACAGAGGTCTGGGGTGAGACCAGGTCCCAGCGAGGGATGGGGGCAGAGGGGAGACCCCACTCCCTCCAGGCTCGAGAGCCTCACAGTGAACTGTGGGATCCCTAGACCTTTCCTACCCAAGGCCAGGAGAAGCCTCAGGCAATGCATGGGCTCTAAGTCTTGGGTTTGGAGGTAGGATCACTGGCCGGGGGAGGGAGGGAGAAGCAGGTGGCAGGGTGATTTTCTGACATATGTACCAGGCAAGGATTGCATCAGCCCTCGTCAACACCTGGATCACAGGTGAGAACTCACCTTCCCAGAAACAGACACACGGGAGAGGGGATAACAAGAATTCATGGCCAAGGAGTTTTTTGCAAAAGAGAAACACAGGGAAAGTTCTCCTCTAGGTCTAACATTCCTCCAGCTCCTTTTTCACAAAATCCCATCATCTTCCAAAGATTCCGTGTTGGTTCTTTCTCTGAAAATACCCTCCCCCTCACTTTCCTTGCTTCTCCCACCCACATGCTTCCAACAAATCTGAAGTCAGTTATCTGGTTCAAGTTACTAGCCCCACCTCTCAGTCTTGACCTGGGCAAGTTATGTGGCCTCCACGGGACTTCGTTTCCCCATGTGTAATGTAGACGTGGGAACAATCACAGGGTCCAACATGGTGAAGCACGTTCTAGGAGTTTGTTCATCACGAGCTCTGCCCACAAGGGGGCACCCCTGAGCAGGGTGAGGCATCCCCATGCTCCCTCGTCCCCCAGTCCCCATTGTCCAGTTGAGGAAGGACGGTCCTGGGATGGAAGTGGGAAGAGTGGGGTCTGACATTGGAAGCTGGTCATGGAGTAGGAGATTCAGAAATGTCCAGCTCAG